TGACTAGAACTGATTTAATCCAGTCTAAACTGGTTGAAACTGATGGAACAGGTTCTTTTGGACTTGGAGTGGTTAGAACCTTTTTGAACTGGCTGTAACCATTTTGATATTCCCTGCATTCTAACTTCATCCATATGAAATTGATGTTCCCTTAATAACCTTAGTCCTTATTTCATGGATTCATGGCAAGAACTGTCCTTATCCTACTTACAAACTGAGAAGTTTTTGTGGACGATGGCAGAAGACATGAAACTCTTGGGTTGGAAATAAAGAATATTATAACTCACAGCAAAAACAATGGGAAGACCTTTATGTTCATTTGCATCAGATTTCCATGCCTCCAGTCCCTCAGAGGCAAAGAGCTTACGATGGATGCCTGTATATACATATTGAGTTGTATTATAAGAAAGGAACACTAAAAAAAAAAACCAAAAACTATTACTTTTCTAGTAAACTTCCTCTGATGGAGATGTAGCTCATCCTTAAAGGGTGCTTATTACAAACTGGCTTGGTAAATCTTACTCAGAGCCTTGAATTCTTGGTATACCTAGCAGGATGTTTGGGAATGCTCAGAGTCCATGGCAAAATTGTTTCTTCCAACAGGGCAGAGGTAGACAAACTCAAGACTGTGAAATCTGGTCTGCTACTGTTTTTATATGCTCTGTGAGCTAAAAATGGTTTTTACATTTGCATCCAGTGAAGAAAATTATTTTGCGCTACAAAAAGAAATTCATTCTTCTCATTAGTAAACTATATTACTAAAAAAGTATACTCAATTTATTATTAAAATATTTTGAATTTAATCAATTAAAATAAATCTTGTTAAATAAATTCCTATATAATATCCTTGATTTTGCTTCTTGGTACCCAAACTCTAAATTATATGCCTTTGACAGAAAAAAAAAACTTTGCTGGCTCCTGACCTAGGTGAGAGAAAGCTCACAAAAGTTTTCTGCTTATTTGCCATTTTTGTAACTGCTAATTTCACAGCTAAGCTTAGAGAACATGTGTGACTAACCAAATTAGATCAGGGCTCTGCAGATTCTTTTTGAATATAATTTTTGAATAGGTAAACATATACATTTTTTTATTCATATCAGAATTAAAAGGCTCCTTATCAGTGTTCCTCTAATGGTTAGGCTAATCTCTGAAGTTCTCATTGCCAAAGCTGGTATTTATCACTTAAAAACACCTTTGCTTTATATGTAATCTGATAATAAAGAACACTAGCATGCTTGAATTAAAGGGAAAGAATACTGCTTATTAACTGTATTTTTATTCTTTCCTCTTCTTTCTGATAACTCAGCTTGTATGGGTTAGTTTTACTTAGTACATACTACAAATATCAAGTTATTGGTTATGTATTGGTACAAAAGAAAGCTACCCCATACTTAGTGACTTAAAGTAACAATAATTTGTTGATTCTCACAACTTAGGCGGGTATCAAGTATTGCCCTGGTGTGCTGGGATGCCAGTTGTCGTGCTGGGATGTTGGAAGGGCTGAAATGGCCTCATTCATGTTAAGGAAGAAATGGGATTATTTGGCATGGGAAGTCCTTTCAAAATTTCATTATTTAAGGAAGCACCATGTTCATAAGTGAAATTGATCTATATTTTTCTTATTGTGCTTTGATATGAAATATGCCAGTTTTCTAAGATGAATTGGAAATATTTCTGTCTTTGTTCAGCAATAATTTATATAATATAGGAATCATCTGTTCTTTAATGCTCAGGTAGAAGAGAACTACCTATGAAATCACCTGGACAGGATATATATTTTTTTAAGTAGATCACTGATAACATTTCAGGTTTTTTTGCTTGAGTACTGGTCATTGCAATTTTCCCACTTATTCTTAAGTCAATTGTTAAAAGCCTTTTTTTTTAAATAGAAAATCAACCATTCCATCTATATTTTAAATTTGTTGTTGGCAAAAAGCTACATATAAGACTTTATTATGATCTTCAAATGTATCCTTTTACCTAGCTGTCCTATTTTTCATTACCAACATTTGTAAAGTTGTGTATTTTTTGTTTTATTTCTCTTCTTTGGTTAACATCTGTTCTTTTACTTTTTTTTTTTCCTAAGAAGGAAAATCTCTGATATTATTTATTAATTCTACTTTTCTTTTCTGTTTGCTTTCTAGTTTGTTAGCTTTATTTTTTTCTTTTTCAGCTCTGTGAGTATTCTCAATTTATTGAAGGTCCAGGAACCAAGACATTTAGGTGGCAAATTTTCAACATGGGGATTAAAATTGCCCAATTGCTGGCAGGGCACAAGGTAGAGAGGAAGGCTATGAGGTATGAGGGGACATTCTTAAGGGTCAGTAGATGAAGCTGGCAAAGGTAGGGACCACCTTCACTCATTATGAGTGACCTCCAAAGATAGTTCTTTGAATGATTTCCCTGCAATCCAATGAATAATTTAAAGACATTTAAAGTAAGTAGAGCATGAAGGACAAAAAAGAATAAAATGAGCCCAGTTTAAATGCTTAGGTTCTCCTCTGCTCTGATTGCTGTTAAATTGTTTTAAAGTAATTAAGAGCTTCATGACTTCTAGGAAAGAAATTATGTAGAAGTTTGTATTTCTAAATTCAAATTTAAAGGATATCTTGCTTTTCACTGACACTTTTTTCCCATCAGTGTAATGAAATTCCCACATCATGATGTGGAATCTCTCCCTTATTTAAAAGTGGGCAGATTCTTAATGAGGAGAAAGAGATTTTTTAAGTCACTGGGAAAGCAAATTAGCCTCTTACCATTTTTATAACTTAGGGAGAATAACTTAGATTGAATAGGAATGTAGGACTCTATCTGAGGCTTGAAAAACTAATAGACTATTATAGACGAGTCATTCCTTGTTTTCAGATTCCTCTGGGATCACGATATCTGTTTTATCAAACTTTAATGTAGTGCAAATAAACTTTTCCTGATATTTTATATAAGCCAGAAAGGATGCATTCATTTGTTCTGTTCTCACTCATGTTCAACAATTTTAATTACATGCACTATCTTCAATTCTTTTGTTACCGCACAAACCTCTTAAACTGAAATTGTTCACATCATTCTCTTTCATCCTGTTATGTCTTCTCGTGGGACTCTGATTTCTTTATTGCCTTCAGTTTTGCATGCTCTGAGCTCAACCGTCTTAGACTTTTTTTTTGGCTGACCTTCATTTTTCCCTTACAATCAATCAATCATCCTTGATTCCTCTCTCAATAGCTTTTAATTCATCCGTAATGTTCTAGTTCAAGTCCTCTCTTGCTTTCAGGGATGGAGGAATTAGGCTTTGTCAAACACCTATCAAGTATTAGACACTGTGGCTGTTTTGCATTTTTGATTTTTCTCTTTATGTTAGTAAGAAAATCCTGATTTTTAAGCTGAATGCGTAAGAGCTCAGCTAAAAAGAAATCTTAAAAGCGAGTGTGCAGACTTTTCTTCTACCTTTTTTTATCCTGCTACCCCAAAGAGGGCAAGAAATGTTTTTTATATCTTTTAGTGATTGAGGAAAAATGAAGAGAAAAATAATATTTCATGGTACATGAAAATTACATGAAATTCAAAACTGACTCCATAAATTAAATTTTGTTGGAACACAGTCATACCCACACTCATTTGTTCACATATTGCCTGTGACTGTTTTCAGGCTACAATGGCAAATGGAATAGTCACAAAAGAGACTGTTTGATCCACAAGGTGGAACATATTTACTATGTGACACTAGTGTCAAGAGCAAAATAGTTGCTCTTGAAAATAGAACTAGTGTCAATGATCTCATTGTAATCTAACCACCTCATTAATATACCACTTTAACTACCTCATTGAATATCCCATATCAAAAAGCACTGGGGAATTAGGACTCCAATATATAGATTTTGGGGGCAATGGAGTCAGCTCATAGCACTCTTCTGCTATTTCTCTGTGACTCTGCTACTTCTGACTTCTCCAAGATCAAGCTGGGGAAGACGGAGGAAGATTAAAGGGCAAGTGCATTTTTATTAACCTAGTGCTGTTAGTCATTCCACTGAGACTATTGATTGCTTCCTGTTGTGACAAATTGAACCGGTGACTTTTAGTGGGGTGCAGTTATATTTCCTTGGACGTGATTCCCCTGCAATGCCTACCCTGATCTTCATGCTGGTGATGAATTTTCTTGCTCATTTTCTGGTATGTGCCCTCAATTCTTGCCCACTCAGTTTTCTTGGTATTCCCCAATCCCAATTGGAAGTCTTCTGGGTTCAGGTCTTTTCCAAATGACTAGAGCCTGGTTAGCCTCCTGGGGTGACAGCAACAGGCACAGAAGTCACCAACTTCCTCCATGTCCTTGAAATTGGAGTTTGTTCCCTTTACTGTAGCTCATTCCCTCTTCCTGCCATCAGAGGTGGCTCCAACCACCTTATCTCAAACATGCCCATTTGAAGGGGACACATGTCAGGTTCTTTCTATTCTTTTCTTTCTTTTTTTTTTTTTTTAAATACTCTTTTTTTTTTTTTATTTGTTTGTTTGTTTGTTTTGTTTATACATGCACTGGGTACAGTCAGAAGCGCGGGAGGGTGAGAGAATTCACCAGAGCCAGAGCGGGGAGCAGAACAGGCAGAAGGACCGAAGTACACTGCTGAGGGGTGCAGCGGGCGGCAGGAGAGGTCTGCGCGCCATGTGGGACCCTCCTCTGGTGGCCGGGGAGCAGCCAGGGATCGAACCGACGCCGCAGAGGCCGCGGGCAGCTTCGCAACCCAGCGCTCAACCGCTGTGCCACCGGGGAGGCCCTCTTTCTATTCTTTTCTAGGAGCTTCAAAGGAAGCGTGTTGCCAGCATGGACAGGCCAACATGTTTCCACTGGACAGCCAACTTTCCCTGGGCAGTCAGGGCAGAGTTCCCCAGTCTCCCCTTTCAGGAGCTCTCTTGGAGCGCCCTCATTAGGCCTGAGTGTGGAAGGCAAGAGGAAATCCAGTGTCATCTCCAAATTCCCTGTAAAGAATCCTCTCATCACTTGTATCCTTCAGATGACTGGTGACATTTAAAGGTGAGCAAACATTTGAAGGAAGTGAATAGCACCGGCGAAGACGTGAACTGGAGATGTGTCGGGCATTCCAGAGTGAGGTGAGTAAGGGGAAGAGTGGCAAGAGATGAAATTTAAAAATATATATACTGTAAAAATAACAAGATAATAGCAGTGGGAAACTGATGACAGGTGCTATTATGGACTGAATTGCTTCCTCTCCCCTACCCCAAATTATGGCCCTTTTGTTTCCCGGGGAGGGTGTCATTATCTGTTTATTCTCAACTTTGAGATACACCCTGATACACAAAATTTTATTTTTATTTTTTTTTAAAGATTTATTTATTTATTTATACAAGCACTGGGTACAGTCAGAAGCGCGGGAGGGTGAGAGGATTCACCAGAGCCAGAGCGGGGAACAGAACAGGCAGACTGACGAAATACACTGCTGAGGAGAGCAGTGGGCGTGGCAGGAGAGGTCTTCGTGCCATGTAGGTCCCTCGCTGGCGGCCAGGGATGGAACTGGCGCTGCAGAGGCTGCGGGCAGCTTCGCAGCCCAGCGCTCAACTGCTGCGCCACCACGGGAGGCCCTATCCAAAATTTTAAAGTCCAATTTCATATCCCCTGACACTTCGTGCTTTGAATGTGTTCTTTCTGCTACATCTTCCCACTTCCCTACCATTGACATTCCACCCATTTTTGACCTCGCCTCCCTGTAAAATCTTCTCATGTTCCCTCAACCAGATTTCAGGATCAATTGCTTACACTGTTGTACCGAAGGGCCTTGTTTATATTATAGATAATTTTGCATCTTCTCTATTATGTTTCAAGTTCTTTTTGGCAGAGAGTTGAGAAGTATTAAAAATATAGAGAAGGAGGAGAGATACTGAAATTAAATTGAAATGAACTATACTAAACATCCCACTACAAAAGATGAATCCTCCCCTCCCTGCCATTTACCTAAAAGGATTGTGTGTGTGTGTTCTTTGTATTTTTCCAGTGGATTCTGAAGTGGATAATGTCAAAATTATGGTAATATTTGGTTGTTTTTGTGAAGTTATCTGCCGTTCATGAATCTCCTGTCTTCCCAGGAGTTCTTATTCTGCAAGATTTCCTGAGGGATGAAACACAGATCAATAATAATTTGGGAGTTGAAGCACATCTATATTAACACCTGCATAGCAGCCCCCTATCCCCAGGCATTACTCTGAAGAAGTCTGGAGTCTGAGATTAAAACACACAGGTCAAGCTTGAAATATGAGCAGGATTTTAAAATTTGTCCTAGAATGGTAGAATTGGGAAATTCTTTAATGGAATAAGAAAGATTTTGAATCAGAACAGCTTTTCAGGGAGGAGCAAGAGCTCATTTATGAATTCCTGAGGTTAAAGATATCTCTTAGACATCTCAGTGGAGAAATCATTAAGTTCTTTAATAAGAAACTAATATTAGGGAAGATACAGGCTAGAGATAAAAACAAGGAGTCATCATTAAACAGTTACTATATAAAGTCATGAGATTGGATGAGATCATCAAAAGAATGCAGATTGAAAATTTTGTTGACTCGCTATCATTTCAGATGTGACTAGGCTGGCAAAACACTGAGGTTGTTACTATATTAGAAATTTTGTAGTCACTTATCTTGTCACCTATATGGTTGGTTAACATTTTCATTTCAGTATAGAAAAGAGTTGAAGACCTGAGCCAATTCATACAATGAATTAAAATAGAAATGAAGACTAACTCAAAGATTAAAATCACATTCCAAATCACCTGTATGTATCAAACTTTGTTGTTTATTCACGAAAATCCATTCCACATCAACTAATTAGCCTATTATGAGCTAAAAATCTCATCCCCCTATCAGTAAAGTTTCATCAGTGGCCAGGCCCAGTACACTTTCGGTCAATGATAAGCAAGAAGGGGATTACCAGTTTTATCTGAAACTGAGATTGTAGAGAAAACTATGGGAAGGGAAGCCAAGTTTTCTGTTTTTCCCATTGAGTATGACAAAAAAGTTCATACTACTACAAGTCTGTGTCTTATAAATATGATTGTAATGAACCCTGAGATGGGGCTAACACTGAGGATGCCCAGAAGTGACCTGGTTCTTGTTGACATCATGAGCTGTGAAATTAACCAATTAGCTAAGATAGAACTGGACCCTACTACTATATGCTAACAAATTATCTGTATTTCTTATGTCCATATCAGTTGATTTTCCTATGACTAGCAAGAAAAACTATCCTAATGACTTCATCATGTGTATAACATAAAATGAATTGGGTCTAGTCTCTACAAATGAATATTACAATTAAATTAAGACTTCTTGATTATCCATAAAAGGCTGTGATGATATGCTAAGAAGTATTTAGCTTTTGTTGGCTTCACAGCATAGTTCAGATGTCATTGCATTAGGTTGATTTCAAGAGAAAAAAAATCTATAAAATTTTCTATAGTTTAACACTAGCCATAGAATGACAAAAATAAAAAACTAAAGGAAGATGTTTTCTAATTAGTTAGCTAAAAAAACTTGAGTGTGGACAAAAGACATGGAAAGGATCTACAGCACCAGTTCAGGACCCTCCAATTTGTCTTCAGAGTCTAGGTCATTCAGAAGTGATACCTGGGGCCTTGCACATTATAATGACCAGCATCATAACCAGGAAGCAGCATGCGTGGCACAAAGTACCTGAAATACATTGCATATCTTGTTTAATTCTTAATTTCCTCTGTTCTAGATATGATATGACCATTGAGGAGACTGAGGTTCAAAGAAGTCAAGTAACTTTCCAGTGTTAACCCCTGCTAGCATCAGAATGTTTCTATACCCCCAACTTCATATTTTGATATCTTATCCTCTAAGGTGAGGGTGTTAGTTGGTGAATCTTTGGGAGGTGGTTAGGTCATGAGGGTGGAGCCTCGTGAATGGAATCAATGACTTTATAAAGGGGTTCGAGAGAGAGCCTCAGCCCATTCTCCTGCTATGTGTGGATGCAATGAGAAGTTTGCAACCTGAAAAAAGAACCCTCATTTGACCATGTTGGAACCCTGATCTCAGTCTTCTCGCCTCCGGAACTGTAAAAAAATTAATTTCTGTTGCTCATGAGCCATCCAATCTGCAGCTCAAATGGGCAATGATACCCCTTACCAGTACCAGTAAGTTTAGTCTATGCTAGTGGCTAGTTCTAGTATTTGGTCCCAAATGTAGACAGTGCCTGGCACACAGGGGCATTCACGAAATGCCTGTTAAATGAATGACTCATTCCTTTTTAATTGTTAAATTGCAGTTTATATAGTGCATAATCTCAAATTTAGATTCTGGGACACTTCACTACATTATCATCATCCTTAGATGATGGTTGTTAGGACTTTTGAGTAAGAAAAGAATAATTGAATATTTCTCCAAATAATCTCTCTCTCTTTTTTAAAGATTTATTTATCTATGCATACAAGAACTGGGGTACAGGCCAGAGGTGTGGGGGTGAGAGGATTCACCAGAGACAGAGTGGGGGCCAGAGGCAGACTGACTGAAATACACTGCTGAGGGGAGCAAGGGAGGCAGGTGAGGTCTGCTGCGCCATGTGGGTTGCTCCCTGCCTGGCTGGGGATCAAACTCATGCTGCAGAGGCTGCAGATAGCTTCATAGTGTTGTGCTTAACCCCTTGCACAACTAGGGAGGCCCCAAATAATCTCTTTTTATAGACTGACACTGTCTTTGTGCATAACTACCCCACATATTGTCACCATGACAACACACTGTCCTTGGTCCCATTAAGACCATTAGACATATTGTATAAATAGAATATTCTGTTTCATTCCACCTAATTTTGCCTTAACTTCTTTGGTAATAAAGTCAGAGATAATAAAAAATATTTTTTCTTTAAAACTCATAATGTGATACTTCCATGAGGTTTTTAATCTAATAGTTAGTAGTATAATCATATGAGATCCATCATGATTATTTATCATTTAGAAACTATTTCCCCCTTAACAAGTAGTAGAGAAATTTCTATTTGGTAGGTGTAAAATTATGTGCCAGAAACACATAGATAAGCAAAAACATCTTTCCTTCTTTGGGACACTAACAACACAATTCCTAATATATTCATGATTCTAGATGCATGATTCTAGAAATTAAAAATTAGAGATAACATGGAAAGATAGTGTTATACTCATTTTCTCTAAACCATACACAGTTATCAATGTCCATGGACGTTTGCAATTTGTATTAGCTTTTACCCTGACAGTCTCAACTGGTAACACTGAAGGATTTGTAGTTGGTTAAATTACAGGACAACAAGTTAGGAAAAAAAATAGCATGATAATTTCAATCAGTGGGTTGCTTTCTTGTTATATTTCAAAACATATTTGGTAAAAGGACATTTTCCTTTACCACAGGCAATAGAGTGTGTTTCAGGGAAGTTTCAAAAAACTAAAAAAAATTACCTATTTAATTATATTTTAATATTTGGTCTTATCATTTTTTCAGATTTTTCCTAGAGAAGGGAAGGATGTACAGAATTTGTAACTGGTAGCTGAAGCCAAAGACTGTTACAGGTGGCACCCCCTGGAGGGGGTGCTAGTAAGGATGGATAGCCCCAGGCAAAATACAAACTATGTATTGGTGGAGGTGGAGATTCCAATAAGAAATGTAAGAGAGTGTAGAAGCAGTCCCCAGGATTCAGCATTCAGGATTTCAGCATTTTTAGATCTTCAATGATCCAGGATAAGAGCTTTCAGCGCCCACCATTCTGATCTTCCAGAAGACTTCTGTAGGCCTCTGAAGGACGTGGAGAGGCTTCCAGCAGCCAACCTCAGAGAGAAAAGGTTAGGAGGCTTTGTAAGTAGCCCAGTGACTGACACTGTTCTCAGTTTTGCTGCTGTTACAGCCTGGAAGGGAAGATGAAGACCGGAGCTGGGTGCCTTGCTGAGCTTCATGAGTCTGGCCTTTCGTCTGATAGTTCAGCCGCTGCAGCTGCTATTTTGAGTGTCACTTGTCTGGTGTTGCACTGGGGCATCTCAGCAGCTCTGGGGATCATCTCCTGGTGTGTCTTCTGCTGTCTTAGTGAGTTGGATCCCAGCTGATAGTCTGGCTGCCAT